GTGTTCAGTTCGGTTAGGTTATATTAGGGTTTTTGGCTAGGTAAAACTAATGTAAGATTGTTTTAAACACTAATGATACACACAGGAAAAGGCCACAATTGGGGGATTGCTGTGTGTAGTAGGAAATGTGTGGCAAAAAGAAGAAGAAGAGAGAAAAAGAAAAAAAAAATAAAAAAGTATAGCGGCTGATCTGGTTTGTTTTGTGTGCCTAACATCCTTCTAAAAGAAAGAGCAAATCATGCAGTACCATTTCTTACACACAATAAATGAAGAACAAATGAATATTTGTACTTTGGATAGACGTTAAATCAAATCCGAAGAACCATAACTAAAAAAATCGAATAAGCCGGATGTATTAATTGAGAAGGAAAATTATATTCACAGTATGACGAATATTTAGATTTAACATAAGAAAAAAACAATCGTTATAGCGATTAAATCCTGATTTGTTTTCTCATTATTATTGACTTTAGAGTATTTACTGCAAATCAAAATATTTCGATTTACGCATTCGCCAAAAATTCACGTTTGAGACAAGTGAACTATTACTACATCTGTTTGAGTATTTAATGTCGATTGAGTTATAGTGTTATTCGATGTTTACTTGGAGCACAATATCATTGCACAAAGTGTATGGAGTCACGCAATGGAACAAATATTTCTGCTATGGCTTCCCAGGTGGAGCAAAACAGTTCTGTACTGTATTTCATTAACGTTTGGTGTTTAGCAATTAGAAAAAAAATTTCAGGCTGTTGTGGAAAATATTACTTAGGTTAAAACAGCGTGCTAAACCGACATGGCAGCTTTACCGCCATACAACCCAGGGTTGTAAATTGAGTGACAGCTCGATTTATCAGAATGACGAACGCTCCGAGGCAAATACAGACAAAGTTCAAGTACGCAATTAGTTTTGACGTTATCGGTTCTTTGATGTAGCCGGCACACTAATGCATAACGTGATGCCACGCTGGGTTCAAACCGACGCACACTCTTAAGTACAAAATGTGACTGTGTCCACTTCATATTATCTTGACTTCGAGTGTTTCCATTTCATGCAAAATTACTCAATGTTAAGAGTAATATTTCAGCATCAGAATGCTTTCAATTATTTATCAAGTTATTGAACTCAGATTCCCTCTCTCGTGCTGTAAATTTTACCGAAGTAAGAACGTGCGTACACGCGCCTACTTCAATGTCGTCTGACTTTGCATGATTTCGATGGACCTCGCCACGTCCTTACATGCGATGATGAACGTGCGTGCATGATAGGACGCTCGTGCAAGGGCTTATATGTTCCAGTTTCGTTCCAATTCATTTCGATATGAGACAATAATGCTCTGGTTTTGAGGTTTCGGTAGAACTGCAGCATAGCTCGCATGCATCTGCAACACAACCAACGGTGTACTGCAATTATTTACCTCGATCTGATAATATTTTGTACAATCATGTGGCTATAACTTCGTGGTTGGACAATTAACTGGCTTGGGGCAAATCTATGTTATCAAATTTTATCAACAGCTTACAACCTGAAACGAAGTGATGCGTATATGAATAACATAACGTTTCACAGATACGAATGTCTATATATCCTGAAATGACAATGCTGAGCGCGAAAACGTTCCTAAGAGATATGTTTCCAAAAACATTGTGACGCAATGTTAAATATAATAAATTTAAGCCTCTAGAAAAAGCTTATATGTTAAACTAGATTTCCATAAAATAATTCCATCTTACAAAAAGGAAGTGCCTTAATTAGTAATAAACTTATATTTCAAATTTCAAAATTTGAACTGCTTATCACGATTGTTCTGTTTGGGTTTGATGTTCTATACAAATGTGGAAACTCAAATGCTTATCATGCTACTATCCATTTCTTGTTCACTTTTTTATCAATCATAACATAACATAACACAGTGATCTTGGCGCTGAAGTGTAGGCCTGTTGTGGCCTGTCGCCGATTATTTTCATTTTCGTGATTTGTTCAGAAGATCTGAAATCGTGTCATTTGACCGGATCTTTTCATGATTGACGATAGTTTGAAATAGCTACTAGACTTCCACCGGGTTCGATATGGTGCTAGGCATTTCAAGTCTGAACATATATTTTTCCATAGCTTTATCTAGTCTGTTCTTGAACGCGTTCATACTTGGAGCGCCAACGATGTCATCAGGAAGGCTGTTCCACATGTCGGTGATTCGACGCGAGAAGAAATTTTGTCGCGTGGAGAAGTTGCAGCGCAGTTTTTTTAGTTTATCGCCGTGGCCCCTATGGTGTTGGTTCTTGTTTCAAATTCTATTCAAATCATATACTATTAATATAAGAATTTTATTGTATGGCTTTGAAATGAGTATTCTTTCCTCCGTCGTTTATTAAAAATTTGTAGTCAAAGCATTCGAGCATAACCTTTTTCTAGATTGCTGAGTCACAAGAAGGCCAAGTATCAACCTGGCTGCACTTGATCCTCGCAGTGAAAGTCTTCAGTTCGGTTGATGATGCACACGTACATTCGTAGCCCCGTAGATCTGCCCCGTTCGCTCTAGGCTCGTGCGCCGAGTTTTCTCTCATTGCTGCTTTCTCGATAAGTTTTTGCTCGACGAGTTGGAGCTTCTTGCTCACCGAGGAAGAAAGTTACCGAGTTTGGGGCTCGTTTCAATTTTAGTGCGGATTGTGCCGCTGTTGTGTAGAGTTCAATCTTAGGAGTAACATGTTTCTTTCAATTTTGCTTCGTCGTAATATGCAGTGACTCTGTTCACCATAGTTGAATACTTCCTCTAAGATTTTTATCCCGCGTCTAATTCTGAACGACGCGCCTGATTGTGCGTAGTTCAATGCTGTCATGTTGTTGAAGTGATTTCCATTGCGTGTGCTTTTATAAGCACGAGTGACACAAATACAATAGTACAATTATATATACAAATTTGTTTATTCATTAGAATAATTAGAAATTTGTAAATTCATTAGAACATTTATTAGAACAATATTTAAATGGTGTCTCTAAATCCTCATTCAATTCTGTTTTTTCAAGAGCATAATTTGATCTTCATTATTAAAGTGTTTCGATTCTGAATAACTGCTAGTTTAAAAAAATATAGACTTGTCATTTTCAAACAGTCAGTGAGTTTTTTGTGCATAATTAATTGCAAATTACCGTTTTTCATCAAAAATCCAATAAATTTCATGACGATCATGCGTAACGTAATGCTTTTATTTACCGTAACAATGCTCTTCGTGAGCGACACGTCGGCACAGCTCTCTGAGAACGGCGACTGTCCCGACTACGTTGCTTCGTCTCTCTTCACTCCGCTCGTCATGCTGGACGTGAGTGTTTCTTCTGGACCTTCTGGACCATGTACATGGTAACGTCATGATGTACTCGCGTGGATCGATGTAAGCATTTCATTCCTAAAATTTCAGTTATTCTTCAATGTTCACTTAGCTGGTAACGCCCAACGCAAGTTGTTTGGAGTCATACCACGTTGCGTAGTCGTGGGTTGGGTTAAACCCACTTACAATGTCAGACATACTTTCCTGACTCACTGATTTATAACTTATATCTACCCCAGCCGCGTCAAGCGGCTAATCAGTGAAGTGATCAATTAAGTTAGTTAAGTGATCAAAACACGTAGTTTAAGTAACCACCTGTTGTCATTGTTAGTTCAATATCCGTGCTTAGCATTGTTTTGATCATCTACAATGGAGATGATCATAACACTGCTCACGATGATCAAAATACGGCTGATGTTGATTCTACATCACCCGTGTTTGTCGTGGAGATTCTGTGCACCCGATCTGTTGCATAATTGATGCGTATACAGTAGATTATCCCTGCATTTAAGGTTTGATGCCCATACAGCAACACGGATAATATATAATTGATGCATTGCAAATGTTAAATGTCAAGCTAATCTAACATTTCCGGACGAACAAACATTATTTTTTTTATGTATACTCACATATCTTGTGCTTGATCTATACAAAATCTTTGTATCTGAAATGACAATCTGCGATTGAATTATTTAATTACTTTAAATTTCTATATCCTGCCTGGAAGGTTTGCGCGGTACGATGATCCATCAATCAGACGTGCAATATATTTTTCGCCTCTATAAAAAGGTTACTACGAAGTTATGTGGTAGGTAAATCAATCCTTATCAATATTTTTTTAATTGGTTCGGCTGTTGCTACTTTTCAAGGAAATTTGACTACAATTTATTTGGTATAATAGAATACGATTCGAATAAAAAATTAATTCCACTTGAAAATTTTAGCATATAATTATAGAGATGATAAGATTGAAAATATTCAAGCTGATATTTCTGAAAGGCCATATTGTTCAAGGTAAATTGTGGTCGCAAAAGACTTTGTGGTGGTCATTTGGCACGGGAGCGTAGCCGTGCACCACCAATTTTGTGCACCAATAAGCCCTCAATCAAACGCCTTGGATATCTCCGGACATTCATCAATCAGCCGTGAACCACGGCTTTGTCCTCTACCGGCCTTGCATAAAACCTGCCGTGCACCACCAGGCCGCGGATCGAATATGACTTCCAGGCATCGTTAAATTACGTAATTTTACGTTCACCGCATCTGAGGTTAGGTTTCAGATAGCATAGTTCTGTTCCAAAATTTTATCGTCCTTCGACGAGTGGCCGTTTGACCGAGGGCTGGTTCGACGCATGGCCTAGATATGATTCTCCAGAAGTGTTGAAGGCTACGTTCCGGAAGGCAAGAATCATGATGGTCCATTACATCCAGGGCAGTGGTGGTCTTCGGCAGGCTACCCATTTGGCACGTCCTCACAATGTTGGTTGATGACTTGATGTTGAGGCGGTAGAGTTTCTTGTTTATATTCCATTTGACAAGTTTCGTGTGTCCGTTTGGATTCTCTCTTTGATCAATCAATAAAAAATCTTTACACGTCAGATCTGAGAAGGCTTGGAAAATATATTTTTTAATTGTTTTCGGCTGAGTCTTCTTGAATGTGATGAAAAACTTTAACTAACACTATGATCGGAAACCAACAACATCCGACAAACGAAAATTTTTGTATGAAATTCTTATCTTTCATAAGATAATATCCGTTGGAAGGAAATAATTATTTGGGTTTAAATTGTTCAGGATTTAATTTGGCCGGCTACGGTCCCGAAAATTTCTTGCATTACTGTATGAGCAACTTTCCTCATTTCTGTAAAGCTAAATTTGAAGATGGAAGTCAACTCCAGTCGCAAGTACGGTTCAGAGACAGCCCACCTGTCAGATTCCTCAATTACGACTGCCAATGACGTCACATCTTCAATTTTTTGTCCGCTTCATCTTGACTATGGAGTGAGAAAAAAATTTTATGGTATCAAAATGATCTCCGAAATGTATAGAGTTTAATGGTATGATCGCCATTTTTGACAATTTTTGTAAAAAAATTACAAATATATTCGACGTATGAAAATTTGTTTCATAACTTGTGAGACCTCTAGCGTGCGTCTCGTCTGGGGTGGAAGCCTCGAGGTGTTAGGACGATCTGGAGCATCAGCAACAGCTCGTCTTCTCACGGAGGACGGGTCTCTGCGAGAGCTGAGGAGAAGACAGGATGCTGCAGATTGATTGTCCGTCACTGCAGGCTCATTGTGTTGTGGCAATTTGTAGCTCCGGCCGGTTTCCATAATGGATAACTGTCTTCCTTCGCTACTCTCAGCCCAAATAATAAAATCCTCCTTATCATCCAACTGAATACATTATTGCCTCAGTTAATCAATTTATTATTGCCTCGGTTTTTACGATGCATATACAATTTTAGGAGCACAGCTGCTAGGTCGCTAATTTAAGCGTTTGGCGATATTCTGGACCCTAATATTCAGCTTGTTCAAATATTCTATAGTATAAATTGATAGCGCTTCATTCAAATCAGTTAGCATTTATTCGACAGGACGGGCGGCACAAAGCCTGGCGCGCCAGTTTACCTGTGCTACCTGGCTGACTTGCGCTGGTCACATATTTCAAGTTTTATTGTGTTCACCAAACATAATTCCTATTTAATAAATTAAACATCTTCGAAATGTTTTCTTTACATACTTAGGTGAAATGTAATTTTTCCTGCCACTGAACATGAAAATCGCGTTATACAAGTTCTGTACAATTTTGTCGGTAAAATTAAATAGTTTCTTGATGCAGGCTAAATGAAGATTGCAATTTCCTTATTGAAATAATTATAGATATGATACGATAGATTTCTCGATCAGATTTTAGTTATGTAAATGCGGATCCACGGTGACATGATGTTTTTCTCCAGTACGATGCATCATATTATTAGGTGTTCAAACCGGCGAAATTAGCGGAGCTTCTTGCTCTGATTATATTGTTATTGGTTTGCCGAGTGTTATACTATGCTCGTATTATCAGCGAGGTGGCAAATGATGAGGTTTTCTTTTTGTTCAGTTGAAAAAAACAATGGGTTTCCTTTTTGTTCAGTTTGAAAAAAATGACGGGGTTTTCTTTCAGTTTCCGCCATCAATTACGCTTATAATGTGTCATTAATTAGTTTTTGTTTATTTATTTAGTTTGATAGACAGTGTACATATCTTCTATCGATAATACTAAACCCTTTAAAACAAAAGTCAGGTTGCAGTAATCATAAATCAGAATCAGAAGTTTTTTGTCGTGCTGGACTTGAATTTTTTAATTGATTTGCAGCAATATCGAATATTGTATGGAAAACGAATTTGCGTCATACTGATTCCATTATTTTTGTTTTCCCACTCGACGTCAACTTGTATTATTTACAGATGAACTTATGACGTCTGTATTACCGAATCAATTGTATTTATTTGCAGCTGATTAACGTCGGCGAAATGAAGCTGGCGATGTCGCTGGGCAGCAGCGTGGACCGCACACACTCGTGTCAGGCGCTCACGTTTGTGGATGGCAAGAATTATCGCTACACCTACAATGATCGGTCAGTCAGCGCCTGAAACTAATTCATTTTAAGCAGTGGTAGCCTTGTCATCAATATAGCTGTATACTTTATTTTAGATTGATATCTATTTAAATTTGTTTAGTTACCGTCACAATTGAATTTCCAAATTAATAGAACAATTCTTCACACCATTATGCGTGATAGCTGTCTCCTTGTATGTAATTAATATCATGTTATTGCCATGAGTTTTCTCTCCAGCAAAGAGAAAAATTACACAATTATAGTATTCCGAGACACAGCATGGCATATGACCTCCACATCTGATGTCTTATCAATGATTAAATTCGCCACAACTTATAATGAACTTCTATGAGCAATTTCTATACGACTTTTTCTTCTGAGAATACTTTTTAAAACGAATGGCAGCTGTGAAGAGTAATTTCCTTACTACTTATCTGTTTCCTAATGTATTTATTTGAAAGATTGCTTCAGTAATGATTCCTAAGATCATTATTTGTGTGCGAACAATATTTCTACGGATGATATAGAAATGAACGATTCTTATGCGAATTATTCTTTCATGACTTCTTCCTCTTCCTTCTAATGATTTTCTAAGAAATAATTCGAGAATGACAGGTTTCACTGAACGAATGATTGCTCCGTTGATGTTTTGTTCCTCGAATGATTACTCCGAGTTAGCTCCGCCTGCCAAAGGTTCCTTCACGAATGCTTCCATAACGAATGATAATTATCTGAATGCTTCTGTTACGAATGATTATTTTCAGAATGCTGCCTCTACGAATAGCTTCTCATCTAATTATTTTTGCAAGGTTCCTCAACGAATCATCACTGATAACTACCTAACTCTGTGGCTGTTGTTACACGCAGTAACGGAGCTAAACGGGCCATCAATGGATCATACCAAGCGAGCTTCCCGTCGTTCATCTCAACGTCGCATCTCAAGCTCGTCGGCGGCTACAGGAACGGTAAAAGATCCGGTTTCTTTAGGATTAAAAAAAAAATATTCTTTTAAAGTGAATTCAGTGATATTATATATTTCTCAGTGGCTATGTCCTTTTAGAAGCAGGTATTGTTAAACAATTATCGGAAAAATACAAGAATTGGTCATTTGGTTGCGTGTATAGATAAAAATTTCGATTCGTTCCGGAAGTTTGGTCCGTTGGTCGAAGTTCGTACAGTAATGTTCAAATTAAAATCGAGGTAGAGTAAAAAACGCAGATCAGATACACACGCCGCTGCGCCGAACTATATAGGTTACTAATTCCGCGGAGTAGTATCGGAACCATATTTTTACGAGATTTTCAAAAAATTGTTTCTATGCCTGCAGTGATGGGTGCAGACTCGAGTGGCACGTCACGCCTGGTGCCGCTGGCGTACAGTCCGGGCATCATCATCTTTGTGTCGTGCTCCGAGACGCTCTGGTTCCACAACCGTGAGTTACGATTATTAGAGAGGGCATTTTTATTGACGATCCGAGTTCCTGTGTACATTGCAACCAATTGAGTTATTCAGAGCAGATTATATTCTGTTCTTTTGTAATCGCTCCAAAACCTGAATTATTTCATGACAACGTGGGTCAATGACTAACCGCTTCTAGAACTCGTGGCAATATTAAATTAATTGTACCCTATTTTCCAGAGCAATTCTACTTGCTCGTCGATTCAAAGATACTTCTGCGTCCTGAAGATTTGGACGAGATCGAGAAGACCCTCAAGTCTGTGGGCATCATCCCAGCGAGCCTCACGTTGGACCGACCCGACCAGTCGTGCAGAGAACCTGATCCTGACGTTGAGCAGGAGGCATAACAGCGCTTCGTTAACTCCTTAATTTATAATCGTATCATCAAACTTATCTTCTACATAACCATCCATTTTGAGTTGCAACGAGAAAACTCGTTTGGTAGTTATTTATTTAGTCTTCGTTTAGACTATGATGAAGATAAGTAACATAACCTAACGATATTCAGAAATTTGTCAGCCAGTTAAGAGGTAAATACCCGCAGGTAAGTATGAAGCGACTTATTTTGAATCCCTTCACTGAAGTCAATGTCAGAGAAATCATTCAAATCAGTTTAGTAAGGCCATTCAACTTCTCTTGTAGCATAGCTAGAAGCGTTTTCTGTTAAATAAAAATATCGCATATTACGACATCCTTGCTTTTCCTTTATTATCACACTCTACTGACAGTATTGTAACGACAATAATTGCGTCCGTTAGTAATCGCAACGTAAATACATACCTAGTCCAAAGGCCATAACTGCTGTCTAGTATCGATACGAGCTTGCAACTTCATCCTCGTTACAAGAAACAATCAGCAGGAGAAGAGAAGAAACACTTCAAGCTCTGATGCAGTAACATATCTTCAATTCAAATGTTGTATCAGGTCACTGCTATGAGCATAGCCAAGGATTGCTTAATTTCATGAAATGCAGTTGAAGTATTTACCAATGAAATAAGATTAGAATTTTCCCCGTTAATCTTTCAAAGTCAAAACAAAGACTAACGTGGTGGATATTCTCGAAGAAATCAATCCCTTAGGCCACGTCAATTTTCTCTTCAACATAAATTACAAGTTTACCGATAGCTCAAGCGCGCAGGAGAAGCAGCAATCAACAAGACCGTTGTCCCAAATGACAAAATGATCAGCAAAACTCAAATAAGTACTGACAGCCATGACTTTATTGTAGAAATACACTGGACATGAAGACAACGCATAATAGCAAAACCACCCCCGCAATTAACGCTGCCTTTTCTTGACGACATTCTTGATTCTGCCGGACGCGGTGCGCATGGGCTTCTTGGAGACGATGAAGAGACTCTTGTCCTTGCGCTTGTTTCCTGTCTTGGGCGTCTTGCCGCCCTTGCCGCCACTCTTCTTGCCCTTGGTCTTGGCTTCCTCTGCCTGCTGCCTCTGCTTCTCGAGGTATCGTTTGCGTGAGGTACGGTCACCCATCTGTCCCTCAGTGAGGCTCGCCAGCGCCGCGCCAGACTTGCTCACCAGGCGACCACCGCGCTTCGAGCGCCGGCCGGAGAGTTTCAGCGCGCGCCGCTCCTCTCTGTGAGAAATGAAGAAGTTATGCATGAATTTCGAGGGAGGAAACACGTCATGCAGCTGCCATTAGGGAACATAAGGAACGAATATGAATGAATTACGACGTTCCTTACATGCGTTATTCCATTCAAGGTAACGGGTTTAGCGCGTAGAGCACATCATGAATAATAATAATTAAAAATATATACATAATAACATGAAAGAGGCTCTATAGTTTACAAAGAATGGCACGTTCAAAATACAAAAATAACATAGAGATGGCAAAAAATGAAAGTACATAAAAAAGAGAGTTTATCTCTTACTGCAAATAAATCATTTCATGATATAGGTAGTTTAACGATATCCATCTTATAAAGGCATTTACAATACACAAAGAAATAATTCCCTCAAATTCCTACAACTGTACTTACATTTCTTCATCAAGGATCTTCTTCTCCATCTTCTTGATGACATCCTGGTCATTGGAGAGCTCAGGTCTGTTAATTCTGCCCAGGATCTTCATGGCATTAGAGCTCTCAGCCCGGACGTCTCCGGTGAAGGGCTTGTCGACGGACTTGCCAGCGTTGTACGTGAAGCCCTTGACCGGTACCTCGCCGCGGAGGGCGGGCTGGAACTTGCCTAGTGACGCAGTTGATGCTAGCGAGTAATGCATCGCTTTCTTCAGCTGTACCAGGGACAAGTTAAATTAATTAAATTGATGCTAATAAATTAAATGAATGTTAACAAATGCAATGTGTGTTAACAAATACATACATGGATCAAGTTGTGTAACTACTAGTGCACCAAATCCAACAAACTGAAATGATGCATTCAAGTAAAATTGCAGCATTCAGCATTTACAAATATACTGACACGAGATGTTTCTTAAAGTAAGTAGGTACCGTTTAAGAAAAAACCTTATAAACCTTACATAAAAATAACTTATTTACTTGCAGGGCCATACCATACTGAACTTCTCTAGTGAGTGCTCTATACTCTGCATATTCTCTGTTAATACTCCATACTCTACCCGATCCCCGTTAATATTGAGGCATTTATCGAATTGTGGGATCAGCTTTTGTATGCCATCGTCAAAGAAGCTTGCCGCCTGATTAGAAAACTACTATTGCTTCACGGTCATTTTCATTCATTTCGACATCAACGGAATGGCGTTACCTTACAGATGCTTCGGTCACAATTTCGTAAAGAACACTTTTTGAAACAGCAGGAAACTTTCGTTCCAGGACGGAAACGGTAATTTTCTGTTCTTCACTTTTTGAATCAGATAATCGGTAATAACGAAAGGTCCTCACTTCGTTCCTCATCATGTAAGTTTTTGCGGCCATTTTTCAAAGACCCTACACCATTTCTGCGCCAATCCATCACTAATGGTGGTTTCACCAAACACTTCACTGATTCACCTCGTAATTTGTTCCCTTTCACCTCGTAATTTGTTAATGTTCGCATGAAAATTCTCGTCAGAAAGATGCGTTTTGCTCGGATTACACCGCCAGTGGTGCAATAATATAAACATACCTATACGCCTCCGCCATACTCCTCTCCATATGTTCACCACGGCGTTAACTCACAACACTTCAAAATGAAACCAAAGCAAGAAGAACTGACCTCGTTGGTGTCATGTGTGTCGGTGCGCAGGACTCCTACACCAGGCATGCCAGTTTTCTTAGCACGTGCGAGGTTCCTGAGTCTTTGGAATTCATTCTTGGCGATGCGCTCTTTCTTGGCTTCAGCAGCTTTAGCAAACTGATCCTCGTATGGATCAGCGTTATCAGGCACCTCCATCACCCAGTTCTTCTCCTTGTCAAGCTGTACTCGAAGTTTGCCGTAGCGTGGGACGAATTCCTGTCAACAAATACAAGAATTCAGACCTAACTTAGGCTCTAATTGTATGGAAGTGCAGCACAGTTGTGTCAAGAAAACAACTGACATGGATCTTTTCACTGTGAGTCAAGATAAAAGATTTTAGTAGATACCTATGCAATAGTGTTGAGAAAAACTTCAAAGTTAATTAAAAAAACATTTATCTCAACATTAGCAGTTTAAAATCTTTTTATATCTACCATTCTTAGACCAGTAAATGTAGGGTTCTCCTAACTTCGCATTTTTTGTAACTTTTTATACACGACTTCAATAAAGGTTTGATTTCACAAAATAGTGATTTAAAGCTAAAAAAATATTCTCTTTAAACCACCCTGCATACCCACATTTTTTGCTTTCTATACTGAACCAATATTGATGTTTAGACTAAACAAAAACTTGAGAGCCTTTCTATCAGAAAATTTTTACATTCACTATCAGCTTAGCAATCTTGTTACATTTGATTCTCCCCACCAACAGAAGAAACGAACCATGCAGATCAATTATGGCTCCTGCAGACCAATTTAGTAGCACTTACAAACTGAGTGATTCTGTAATACAGTAGATGAATAAAAGAAATCTTCAAAAAAGCCATTCCTTACCTGTGCAACATCATCCCACACTTTGAAGTCCCTTCCCTTCTTTGATTTGATTCCCTTCTCCAGTGCAAATTTCTCCCATCTTGTTAAAGGCTTTGGCTTAGGAATTGGTTTCTCTCTAGGCAATCTGGAACACATAAATAAACATAATGAAGAAAAGAAACAAGAAATTAGGCTGCATTTAGAACAATTTTTTGTTGTTACAGGTTAAGAGCCATTGTGGAAAAAAAATTGAATAATGATTATATTTGGAACATGTCCATGTTATTATACAATATACAAACAATTATATAAAGAACTGATATTCTCTAGAACATAATGAGCAGTTCAGTACATTGCATTTATCAATGATCACTCACTTTGTAACTGAATTTGGCACAATAATGAAGGGCTGATTGTCAATAGTAGTTCGCTGCAGACTATACATGTGACTGATAAGTTGCTGGACACTGTCACGGCCAATGCTTGCCAAAATGTCTTCCCTCTCTTCAACATTTCTGTAATAAATTTAAACAATCAAATTTTAAACAATTGGAAACACTAACACATCAGGAAAAAATTTGTAGGCAACTTTAATATGTACCTATATGTGGTGTGGAGACGAAATCGCGGAATTGCCAATTCCACAGAATAGGCAGCCAGTTTGCCAAATCTGAAGAGTCAGCATTTCTATACTATAGGAATCTGGGGTTAGGTCAGTCAGCCAAGTTCTTTTTTTAAATATTCAAATATAAAGGAACTTGACCAAACTTTGCCCAACTGTTTGTAACTCGTTAATTTTGTTCCAGCTCTAACTCTAACGTCCAATTCTCTGAATCAGCAACAAAATATAGTCAGATGGGGTAAGACAGGACCGAAATCTCTAACAAGCATATAGCATCTATACCATGAATAAATAAAAAACCCTAAACCTATCACAAGGTGTAGTTATGCAATGGGCTTCTAAGATACAACTCAGACTTTCTGCATACAACATAGTTTTCTGTACAGATTAAAAAAAGTGAGCTGGTCCCATCTTACCCCAATGGGGTAAGATGGACCGGGCATGGGGTAAGACAGGACCAACAGGTAATTCTTGTGTTACAAGGTTTTTAATAAAAGTACAAACCTGATATTCAATATTATCAATCTAGAAACACATTATTTGATTACACAACCACTTGTAACTGTTTTGTGTTGCAGGATGTCAACTCTATTGATATTTATCAGTCACATTGGAGTTTTTGTCACGAGAAAACTGACTCTTCAATACCACATTTTTTTAAGCGCATAAATTTTTTTTGTTATAATTTCTAGGGATTCCAGTTACTAAGTAGTGTATAGATGAGTATGGAACATTGAAAAATGTAAGGCAACATTTCAGTCCACTTGGTCTTACGAGATCCCAACATTAAATGCGACGGTATGATCCATTTAGTCTTCTGAGCGCAAAATATGGATGATATTATGTAGCTGGCATAGTTAATTATCATTTTGTACATTACTTTTGCTAGCAACAATGGGCTTAAGAAGTTTGGCCAAGAAACTTCCAAGAAACTCTAGTATTTTAGCAAAAATGCCTTATTTGAGATGGAAATTTCAAAGAAAATTTGTGTTTTCCCAACATCCTTGATGTTGGGAAAACATTGCAGAAGAGGGTTGAAACAAGCACTGAAATGACATGCAATGATTGCTCTAACATATTCTTCTATCAAATTAAATTCAGTGCAATTAGAATGCATGATATGGGCTGGTCCTTTCTTACCCCATGAAGGCTGCAATCCTGTCTTACCCCATTTGACTATAGGTACTGGTTCTACAAATTCAGAAAACTGGCTACCTATTCTATAGAATCGGCAATTACTCAATTTTGGCACAACATATATATATATATATATATATTTCAACACGTGTGGTTAATGACCAGAGAATTCGTCAATTCAAACTTTCAGGGTCAAACAACATTCTTCAGATGATATTAATTGATCAAAATTCAAGTTCAAGGGAGTAATATCAATTTATTAACGACGTTTCGAATGTAACAACATTCATTTTCAAGTTACAGGAAGCATTGAATACAGAAATTTTCTGTATTCAATGCTTCCTGTAACTTGAAAATGAATGTTGTTACATTCGAAACGTCGTTAATAAATTGATATTACTCCCTTGAACTTGAATTTTGATCAATTAATATCATCTGAAGAATGTTGTTCGACCCTGAAAGTTTGAATTGACGAATTCTCTGGTCATTAACCACACGTGTTGGAGCAAGCTTGTTCTGCCTTCTGATACTAAAATATATATATTTATATACCTATACAGGTTTGATTGATAACCAGAACATACTTTTTATTAACATGTTTGTTATTCTTCTTTTCAATTACCCAAACAAAATTTATTGCTGGTTTTGGGAGATCAAAAAGCAGGTCACCAAGAGATTTTACTGGAATACAACGTTTCAAATATTCAATATTCAATCTCAATAAGTGAAGAGTTTTATAACACTTGAAATTTGGAAATGACACAGGCACATACTAAAAGTATATACATGTGCCTAGATACATTTGAAAATCAAAACATAAAATTTATCGGAGAACAACTTCAATGTCACGAAAAATACGGTGGTTTGCAAATTGATAGCTGGAGACTCATCCTTAATGACAAGAACCTCCACCATTACCAGACTGCCAGTCTTGTAATATTGGGGCACTGCATGATGATGCTGGTGCAGGCGTCCAAAGTTGTGCAGGTGACATCTTGGTTTTGAGCCCTCACTGCCACTGCCCCACATATGATTCTTTGGTCCCAACTACACCCAGAAAGTTTTGTTGATGATCACAGAGTTGCGGTCATGCCAGGCTGCATTGTACATGCATTATTACATCAATAACAACATTTAAAATACATTATTATGCGCCTAAATGAATCTTCCTCAGTGCGGCTGGGCCGCAAATACTTTTTTCTTGCCACCTAAATGGGCCATTCTGGGAAATGGGGCAGAATCCAGACATGATAGAACAAAAAACAATAAATTTCAGCTGTTTTGAAATAGGGTAAATGCGGTACGTATATTCCGACACTTTAACCCTTTCCCTGGCGGACATAGAAATACGACGAAATTGCAATATTTGATGATTGTACTTAAAAGTATGACCAATTCTAAGATATATTTACTCGTAAGCATATTTCAAAAAATTTTGTACATAAGTAGTACCGTAAACTGGGGTAACTTAGACTACCGAGGTAACTTAGACCACTTTTTGTTTTTTTAACAAAAACCCCCAAAACTCAAAAACTATCTGACATAGAAAAATTCTGTCAATGGGCATTAAAGGCCTAATACTGAGGCTATGTAACACAATAGAAATATTTAAAAAGTTTGCATATTTAATAGGTTAAAAATTAAACTGTGACTCATGAAAAAAAGCTATTATTCAAACCCTGTCGGAGTACCCCCTCCAATTTTTTTATTTTTTGGCAAAATAACTCCAGGTTTTGATGCATTGTAGTACAACTCTTCTAGTTACATATGCAACAAACAAATTTTAGGAAAGTCTCATAGTTTGCAAATGGGGGGCGCCACCCCCCAATGGGGGAACTTAGACCACCTAATGTCAGCCCTGACAGGGTAACATAGACCGACTTGGAAATTAATTTAAAATTACCATATATAACATTTCATGTTTGATACACCTATTAATGTTTTTCCTTTAGGTTTCAGACTCTACAGTCTTATATATGGTAATTTAACTTAATTTCCAAGCTGGTCTATGTTAACCCTGTCAGGGCTGCCATTAGGTGGTCAGAGTTCTCCTGTTTGGGGGAACTTAGACCACCTGGGGGGTGGGACCCCCCATTTGCAAACTATGACACTTTCCTCAAGTTTGTCATTTGCATATGTAACTAGAAGAGTTCTACTACAATGCACCAAAACCTGGAGTTATTTGGAGTTATTTTACCAAAAAATATAATTGATTTTACCACACAGTCCAAGATACCCCCAGAGCTGGGGTAAAAAAGACCATCAATTTTTTTTTAAATTACATCAAAACTATGAGAGGCAGGAGCCAGCAATTTATGGTGAGTGAAGCTAGAGTATAGACCTGTATTTTACATGTTTCAATTTAAGTTTAACTTATCTAGTAAAAAAATGGCATCATTAAAAAAAAGTGGTCTAAGTTACCCCAGTTTATGGTAAATCACAATTAATGCCGGCTTAAGGTACAAAAAATTAGCAGATTTTGACACTGAAAGTTTACTATTTAGATGGTAAAAAGCATCTTGATTGCTCTTTTATGCATGTATTATAACACATACAAAGGAAGCAATCAAGATGAAAAAATTATAGGTACATTTAGTATTTTATGGCAAGATACTTCCAGACCATCCTTATAATGAGACATCCATGCCATATGTAGAGAGTCACATTCATATACAACATATAGCTAAGACTTGTGAAAAAATTGTCAGTAAGAATTAGTATTGGTGAAGGACATGTTATCTTCTCGGTCAGTACAGAGACCATCTTGCTTGCAACCGCGTCAGCTCTATGTTCTGTAGCGAAGGGAATGCCAAGAGCATGGACTGCAGTCAAAGTCAGGGAAAGCATCAAGTGCTGAACTATAATTACATTGGACTGAAAAACATGGCTTAAATCATAATACTGCTAACCACTAAATGCTAACAAACATATTTACCAAGCGCTGTAGAAATTTACCTTTAGCGGGCATATGACCAAACATACCGTCAACCGGGGCTACTCGGGACAGATTTGAACGATTAGTTTTAAATAACAGTTAATAACTTCTTACGATGAAACATTTCATAAACAAGTTTAGTCTCATTTTATAGCTGATTGGCAGGGCTATCGAATGGCATTGTCAAAAAAATTCCATATGCTATTCGTAAGGTGCCAGACGCAAAATAGAGATTGTCCCGAGTAGCCCCGTCGGTTGGGGCTACTCCGGACAACGGGAATAAAACTGCATTTCAAAACATTTGAAGCATGCAGAGCGTACTCATCCATTACTAACAGTACTCTGAAATCCTCCTCTTTCATTGTAGATGATGTAGAGGTAGAATAAATGACATTTTCTGTGATTTTTACTTGTTTTTCCTTTATTGATATGATATTGCCATATACATTAATTACCGTATTATTGATATGACATTATCGTATTATTGATGTGATATTACCGTATCCATGAACATGCCATTGAGCATTTACAACAACCTTGTCCATTGCAAGCTTCATATCAGCAGCCTTATAACATTTTTTTCGTATCTGTAAGCTTACAGGAAGGCTCCTAATTTCACATCATTTTAATTGGGACTTCCCGTGATCATTAACTTCGCGTGGTCATTAACTTCACCTGATCATTAGAATAGAATAGAATAGAATAGAATAGAAGTGTCGGTGTTGAAGACATAGGCCCATGGCCTGTTGCCGATTCTTGAACTTTTCGTGACTTGATTCACAAGGGATCCGGCCTTTGGAACCCGATCTTTCCATAACTGA